CAGGGTAGGTCTAAAATTGCATGGAATAGAGTTGTTTTAAAAGACCTGCAATCTCTAAAAAATCAAAATCAATGCAGATATAGTTACGAGTAGAAAGCAATGGAGGCCATACCAGTTAGCTAGGACAAAGGTTTATTTTGTTCCTGTATTACTGTTTTACATTTTTATTATGTCTGGTACTTGTCTGAAGTCCTTTTGGTCTGGTTAAAGATGTGTATATTGTAGAGATGTGACTTGAAAACTTCAGTTTTAGTAAATCCTGAATTTCGTTAGAAGATAAATTATTTATAAGCAAAGTAGTATTGGAGATGACTTGGGAGCGAGGCATAGTTATTGTTGTAAAGTAGAATTGGAATTATTCAGGCTGGGACATAGTGAACTTGTTGTAGAGGCTTCTATATGACCCGACTTTGTTTGTTATTGAAGTGTAGTTCATTGATAGAAGTGCCTGTTATTTCTGATATATCCTTAACTCCTTCATATACTCAAGAAAACCTTGAACATTAATCTACCTGCAAAACTACACCCCACACTGAGGATAGGTTAGATGCATTTATTAGCGAAAAATCATCTCCGCTCATATTGACTTTTGATCATGTGGAAAATTCTTGTTTGTAGCACTGGAAGTCTTCGACAGGTAAATGCATGGTCATTCTTTGAGAAGCGTTTGCTCATGCTTTTACGATTGCAGAAGTTCTACAAATACTCTCCTTTTTTTATATTTTCTGCATGATGCCATAAACCTGAAAGAACACCTTAAAATTTCTTACTAGAGTCTGCTTTTTCGATTGGATAGTTAAAGACCCCAAGAGAAAAAGCATAGAAAATATGGATGCTATGAGTGTGTGTGTGTATCCCAACTGAGACTAAATAATTCAATACTTACTTTTCTCTATTCACTTCTTTACAGGACAAGTGGAAGATTCGGGTTCAGCTTACAAAACCTGTTACTTGGCCTCCCCTTATCTGGGGTGTGGTCTGTGGAGCTGCTGCTTCTGGTACTACAGGGCATATATTCTTAAAACTCAATTTCTAGAGACATGTTCAATGAGTATTTAATGTCTCCTTAAATATCCCTCCTTAGATATCTCCAATTTCTATGTTCATATCCTGTTTGTTCTGATAAATTTTTACTTCCCAAACATTAAAGAAATGCAGTCGCACATTTAGTTATCAAATCATGAAATGCTCTTGTATTTTGAATTGAACATTTATATTCATATAAACTTTATCTCAGATGTCAATTGTCATCAGGCGTGTAAACAACTATCACGTTATGAAGCCACGATCCGGTTGCATTTCTTAAAAATACTTCCTTCTCTCCTTAAGAAAAAAGAAGATTTCCCTGTGTTATAGCCTATTAGAAGCATATCAGTTGTGGCTTGGTGCCGGCGCAAATGATACTAGATTTGCCATGACAGTACTCTGTCAATTTAAGTTAATTTTGGAATGTTATACTTCATATAATCTTTGTGAGTCACTTTTGCAAACGAAATTATTCTCCAATAAGAACTTCTATTTATACAGTTGTGATTAGACAGATATGTATTTTGTGGGATCTCTGCATGTATCTGATTTTGTTTCTGAAACTTGTCATAGGGAACTTCCACTGGACTCCAGAGGATGTGGCCAAATCAATTGTTTGTATGTTGATGTCTGGTCCATTTCTAACTGGCTATACTCAGGTACTTTTAAGTTAATGCTTTTCAAGATTATCTACTTCAGAAATCCTGGGAAGTGACCGTTTTGCTTTATGTTTAGACTATTAATGATTGGTATGATAGAGAGATTGATGCTATTAACGAACCTTACCGTCCAATTCCTTCAGGTGCGGTATCTGAACAAGAGGTATGTCTTGGTTGAGATTGTCTACAGATATGTTGAAAAGTGAAAACTAATTCCAGAAATTCTATATGTTCTCATCAAATAATCATTGATACCAGGTCATTACTCAAATATGGGTGCTTCTTTTAGGAGGCCTTGGGTTAGCTGGTATTTTAGATGTTTGGGTAAGTCCTTAAATCTGCTAATTATCTAGTTATTTATCTGGAAACGTATCAATTCTATGATCATTGTTGTTATAGGCAGGGCATGACTTTCCTGTAATATTTTACCTTGCACTTGGTGGATCCTTGCTCTCCTACATCTACTCAGCTCCACCATTAAAGGTAATATTGTTATCTTTCATAATCCTCTAACCACGCTTTTTTGTACAGTATCAAAATGTGAACAGCTTTGATATAAAAAATTTATGTGCAGCTCAAACAGAACGGATGGATTGGAAATTTTGCTCTAGGAGCAAGTTATATCAGCTTGCCTTGGTATATATCAAACTTTCTTCTACGTACTCTGCAGCTTGTCGAGATTTACTTCCAAAAATAGAAAGAACCTGTCTAAAGTGGAGCAGTCTTAACAAGTTACCTTTCATAATAATAAAATGGCTTTACATATAGAAAAGCTAATAACCTGGCCTTCCCTGTGTCACCGAGTTGCTGCCTCCATCCTTTTTTGTACGACAGCTTTATCAGGGCTTATTTTCATTTACTTATCTATTCATGAAGATAGAAAGAAAACATTAATGTCAACTTATAAAGGAAAAGGGAACTTTTAAGTAATTTTTTACTGGTGCGTAAAATTATTCTGGTGAAGTATAGGTTGTAGTTGTTTATGATATTTGAACACAAAAATCTTAGGTGTCGGATTAACTTCTGTTTCTGTGTAGAATTTTCTAATAATCGAGATAATCCAAAAAGGGAAGTCCATGATGTGAGACGGGGTGGAGGGAGGGTCTTATCTGCTGCACTTTGCTGTATAAGAAGGTTGATTAGGTGAACTATTTTTCCAATCATGCAAGTATGATCATGTTGAATGTTAACCGATGTTGACTGGGAATTATTTGCTTGGAGACTTTGTAGAGGAGTTTGTTCTCATTTATTTAGTCCCACAAATAGGATCATGTGTGATAACAATTACCTTTTTGCATTATAAATGTATTACTTCAGCATTTTGGTTTGTGCTCAGGAGGGCAAAATTTTCTTATTTACTGTGTAATGCAGAATCCTTTTAATTTCTTGATGTAGGTGGGCCGGTCAAGCTTTGTTCGGGACCCTTACACTTGATGTAATTGTACTAACACTATTGTACAGCATTGCCGGTGTAAGAGTCTGCAAAAACACTTCTGTTTTTTTTTCCATCACTTGCATCAGTAGTCATCTTACCTTTTGTTTATTGCTTCGCAGCTGGGCATAGCCATTGTAAATGATTTCAAAAGCATTGAAGGAGATAGAGCTATGGGGCTTCAGGTATATATCTCCACTAAGTTTGAGTTTTCATACACAATCGGGCATCTCTATGACTGTACTGACTTTCTTATGACACAATTTTTAGTCACTTCCAGTAGCTTTTGGTTCTGAAGCTGCTAAATGGATTTGTGTTGGTGCCATTGACATAACTCAGATATCAGTGGCAGGTGATTGTTGTTCTTGTTTTATCAACAACTGTCAGATCTATATATGTTAACACATGATGACCTTTTGGTCCTCCTAAGTTGTGTATCTTCATTGAAGCTTGTGTCATTATATCAATATACTATTTGAAGTAAGAAATGGATGTTAGGTGATAGCTTTCTAAAATGGTGATTGTCGACTGTAGAAATGATTAGTAACTGCCAGTATTGACGTGCATGCTAGACGCTATCAGCAGTCTCCTCGACTTCGGACTATAAGAGCCAAGGGCGTGAACTTAGTGATCAATAAAGTTGGTTAAAAACCATATGGTCTCGCAAATTCTAGCCAAGGCAAAAACACTAGATCAGTTCTTCTTATTTGTCCAAGCTATAGAATTACCTGGTACCTGTGCTGGTGGGAGGAACCCTAAGTTTTCTTGGGCACCACGTTTTTTTTTTAAATAAGAAAATACAAACCAAGAGAAGTTCAGTTTCTGCTACCTTAGAGAGGGTAATCATTAACTTTGATTGTTTGGAAATCTCTCTTTGAAATTTAGAGCTGCGGATTAATGTTGCTTGAAAACTAGGGTGCTACAAAGGCTACTTAAGTGCTGTCAAAATCCAGCGGCAAACTAGAGCACCTAAGATCATCTAAACTTCTGGAGCACCTAAGATCATCTAAACTTCTCTAGGTCGAGGCCAAATTAAGCTTTCACTATGCTTAAACATAATGGCTATCTTTCAGGAATGTGGACAAATCTATGCCTTAATCTTGTAATAGCATTATATCTTGTTTGTTGCAGGGTATCTTTTAGGTGCTGGCAAACCCTATTATGCTTTTGCACTTCTAGGTTTAATTGCTCCACAAGTCTTCTTCCAGGTAACGCCTTATCAAAGCCACACAATTCTATCAAATTGCTTCTTGTGGTCTAACCTGTACTTCATTTTCTTCTTGTGGTCTAACCTGTACTTCATTTTGGCTCTGCAGTTTAAGTACTTCCTCAAAGATCCAGTAAAATACGACGTCAAATATCAGGTACCTTTGTCTTCTTTTGAACTAGAACTTAAATTTGGCTGTGCCAAAAACTAATACCAATTGTATCTCATTTCAGGCCAGTGCACAGCCATTTCTTATACTTGGTCTTTTGGTTACTGCTTTAGCAACTAGCCATTAGTATTCAAGTGGTGCTTTCATGGTGTAGAGGAGATGCCAAGCTGCTTAGAGCAAACAAAGCTCTTTCTATTTGATAATATGACTTGTGCTTTACTTTTCCTTCAAATGTAGAATGCTAGAATAGGATGGATGTAAAATATGAAGATTTTGTATGATGGTTTTATGCAAATTTTGGATTATGCTTGGTTCTGCTGTCAAATTTGAGGAAACAAAAAATAACTCTCTTTATACACATACAAGTTGATTTGATACATACAAGTTGATACCTGCTGTATCAACTATATGTTTCATTCACTCTCATATTCTGGTGCGTCTAAAAATCTCATAATAAATAGTTAAAGATCGATAGTGATCTAAGTTCGATGAAAAGCCACAGATTCCTCTTGGTGATACAATATAAGTTTATATTATTTGATAGGTAAAGAGACTGGATACAAACCAAGTATTTATTGGCAAGCAACTACCTTATTCATAACTAAAGTAGCTAAACGTACAAGAAGCAAACCAGATAACATGAAAATTATAAATACTCCATAATAGAAGATGATAAATCAAACGTCGTTAACGCCTTTTTGAGATTTATCAGTATTAGCATTACTGAGTCCGCCTTTTCTACCCATTTCTTTGTATCCTTCTTTACCTATTTGCTCTTTTCTAGTTTGTCCTCCTTTTTGTCCTAGCTCTTGGTATCCTTCTGTTCCTAGCTGTTCCCTTCTTGTTTGACCTCCTCTACTTCTACCTTGAGCTAGATGTTCTTGAGCTTCAAGGCTTTTTCCACCAGTGCCACCAGGTACAACTGTCTCTCCCTGTCTAGCCCTAGCATCAAGTTGAGATCTTTCTTCTTGCTCTGATGCCATTCTATTCTAAACTTTTTTTTCTTCTTCTTTTGGAGAAAGTTCACTTCATTGAGAAGATATATATTTGAGTTACTAATAGGTACGTGTCAAAATAAAGACACACATATGCATGCACAAAGACACGACTCCTCTCTACTATTTTCCCACCGCATACATTCATATTCATATCAAACAAACGAAAAAAAAAACAAACCTTCTACACTTAAATGTAAAATAATATAATATGGATAGAAGATAACATCCACCTCTATGATAATTAATGTTGTAATTTTTCACCACTATAATCTTCTTCATGATTATATTCATGTTTAATATCATGTTTATGATTAATTTTTTGTATATTTCAATGTTACGCTATAAATAAAGATATAAGAATTGGTGTACATTTGGAAAAAGAAAGTGATCTCATATTATTCTTTTTATTTCATTTTTATATTGTTATTTTATTTTTAAGTTTTATAAAAATGTTATCAACACGAATTGCTCTTTCTCGATCAAAAACTAATGATATGTATTTCTTGATTTCTATGAATTATCTTTGTAATTCTTCCATTGTAAGGTATACTTCATACCCTCTTATATTATATGTACTAAGTAATAGTTAGTAAGATTATGATAACTTCATAAGAAATAGTCTATTAGAATGTTTTAACTTATTTTAATTTGAGATTTTTATAAGTTTTAATATATTTTTATTTATTTATTTATTTTTTATTCGATGTTGAGAGTTCTTATCTCAAGTTAAATTTTGATCACGCTCCGCAGGGTCTATTTGGGGTAACACTTCCAATAAAATTATCTTCATATTCTCGATTCGAATCTGATACCTCTGGTTAAGGGTGAAACACTCTCACCAGTATATAACAACCCATGTTGGTATGGTTCCAAAATGTTGTTTTAATTAATTAATTCTCTTCATTTTTTTCTATTTTAAGTCAATTCAGATTATGGTATTTAATTTTTTTTAATGCACTTGATTTTTTAAGACAATGATTGAGGATGAGAAGGTGAATTTAAGTTTCACCGCACCAAGTGGATAAGTCATCGGATTATAAAATTCGGTGCACCATGATGATGTGAAGTTGGGTTCAAGTCCCATCATCTATGAATGAAGACTTCCTTATATGGATTAGACATTGAGTTTAAGTCCTAATGCACTATGGTGATGATATAACATCACTAACATAAAGTTATATATTTTTGACTGAAAGTTATGAAATTTGTCCAATTAATTTGCTCCATTCTTAAGTAAATGCAGTAGCAGTACATAATACTCTGAAATGATAAGTGATTGAATGTATAAATATTAGTGACGTAAAATGTTAATTTTCATCATTGTTATAATTAAAAGAAAGAATATTATGGATTCTTAAGATGGTCCATCAAATCTGAAGGTAATTTTATCCATCAAAGTGGTAAGAAAAGATATTGTGCACATTGTTGTTGATGCAACTCATTTTAAAAAGTTTTACAAATCCTACATCAAAATAAAGGAATATAAAGTGGTAGTACATTTGGTACATTTGATCTCTTAAAGTGATATTGAGGTGAGCCACATAAATTAGATAATGTTAAAATATGACAATTGAGTTTCTAATAAAAACTTGTGGAGCATGTACAAATGGTTATGGTCCATTTCTTGAAGAAACTGTGACTTGTGTTCGTATAAATAAGAACATATTCATGTATTGTTGGATAAATATCACATCTCATCTCTACGAAAAGTTTTAGAAATTGAAAAGAAATATTTTAACATAAATAATTATTTGGTCATATACTTTAAGTGCATCAAAAATATTGTATATGTGCTATCATGAACTATTGAATGACAAAGGGAAGAAATAATTCTTTCCTATAAAAGCTATGGTTATGCTACAAAGTAAATATTGTTGTGTGGTAACATAACTTTGTCATTGATTGTCAAAAAATAAATAGTAAATGTAATAATTTTAACAATGACAATGATAATAATTTTCTCTTTGAAGAAAATGATCACAGTAAGAATGGAATTGTGAAATTTATAATAGTACACAAAATTAATTGAGAGTTCTGAAAGACCAATCTTTAACTATCAGGAGGAATGAAATTTTTTATAATATTGAGGTTATAATAAATTTCAAAAGAAACTTTTTAAGTTTCAAAGAAATTGAAAGAAAAAATTGTTATATTAGAACCGTAAATTGTTGAAAGATTAAATATCTTCAGATAACTACAATCAAAGGGGTTATCAATATTTACATAAAAGGTTATCCGCCTTTCTCTTATTTATTGTATAAAATATGAGCATGATGAATTACATGCAAAAATAAACTAGAAGTTAACTAAAATAAATATCAGTTGATATAATCGATTGACAATTCTGATTGAGATGTGATGCAAAAGATATTGCGAATTTACGTGACTATATGTTTGAAAAATTAAAAGATTCTTCATAAATTCTCTTGTGTTACTTGTTCTCATGATAAAATGATTATTATACCAACTTAGGTTGGGATTGTATCCCTTAAAATTATTTAGAACATATAAAAAGGTAAATATGAGCGCGTTCACCTTCCATGTGGACCGCATACTATTATGATTTAATAGATGCAACTATGTTATGGTCACATGTGCATTTGTATCTACTTACAAATTGATTTTTTGTAAGGTTGTTTGTTAAAATTGTTAAATTAAGAGCACAATTTCAAATTATAAAATTATGTTGATAATGTTGGTCGATTTAGCAGAAATTGTATGCCTCGAATTATAGTTATAACAGTTGATTATGAGAAAAATCCTCTCAAATAAAATTTGGTATGATGTGAGTTTATCTAACATGTATGCATCAAACAACAAGGTTCTCTTATCACAATTGGCTAATGCTGAAAAATCAAATAATTTTCATCTAAAAATTTGATGTGTGCACATATGATTTTATTGCTCCACCACGAAACAAGATGAATCCCCAAATGAGGTTGGGGTAAATGTTAAATTTTCTAACATTAGGCAGAGATATGTGTAGAAGCTAAAATTATGTGCAAGGTGAATTATCTGGATCCTCGTTAAAAAAAATGTGAACTTACAGTTCAAGAGATAATTCATTTGCAAAATATTACAAATAATTTTTCAGATGCATTGCTGACTCAATATTTTGATAAAGCTGCAAATGCTCCAATAAGTAACACTTAAACGATAGAGTCCATGGTACGTCAGAAGCGTGATAGACCAATCTATTTCAAAATGTAAAATTCCTTAAGGAGGACAAAAGCAAATTATCAAAATGTTCATGATAATGAGGTAAGTGTTTTGAAAGAGCACTATGACATAACTCTTCATAATACCTTGACAAAGGTTCAGGTCTCTAAAAATGATGAAAAATGAAGAGATTTCGATAAGTTATGTCGCGTTGAGATTGAATCAAAATAACTGTTGACGATATCTTTGATATGAAGTAGCACTTAATGCTATAAATGATTATGAGGATCTTAAACTCAAATCTATCATATATTGTGGAAAGATAAATAATTGCCCAAATAAAATGCTCTATTCAAGTATATTTTGTTTTAATAAAAAAGTAATGTTTTTGAACTTATAGTTCATAGATTAAATTGTATATCCGTGGAATACAAATGAATCATTGTGCGAAAGTATAACTGTAAGATATAAAGTACGACTTATGCCTCGGGACATAAAGTATTTTCACAAAAATTCTGACATTATTTAATGGAGATATATTCTCCATTGGTGGATGAATAAGACTTGTTTTACTTTGGCAATAGACGAATACTCAAATATGTATAGTGAATTATTATTAAATCTCGTTCTTGCATGCTTATTAAAGCAATTCCATTGAGTAAGGTCTTAAAACAATTTCATTGAGTACTCAAGAATTTTGAGACTGCTTAACACAAAGAAATAATCTTTTTGATCTCATCAATTATTTAAACTGTCATGTATTAGTGCAATTGATGCACTATAGATTGTTGGTTATGCAAATGTTAAAAGATTTTAATATACAATTATGCGAAAGAATTATCATATTATCATTTAAGTTATGACAAGAAACTAACAAAGCAAACGACTCAACACATAGAAGATGTATGATTTTCTTTATGAAAAAAAGAAGAACTTTAATAAAATTGAAATAATCAATCTTTGAGTGAGAAATGATTCTATTATGAAGATGCAGAATATTTATTTGATCTGCATAAAACTCGATTGCAAATGGACTATTTCTTTATATATTGTGACACAACAATATCTTGAAATTCCGAGAATCAAACATTAGTAACCACTTCTTCAAATCATGCAGAAATAATATCGATCTATGAAGTAAATCCAGAGTGTATTTGGTTGGAATCATGATCTATCATATTCAAAAAGTATGTGATTTTCTTATGAAAAGGATTCCAGCCACCATATACGAAAGAAATATATAGCTCAATTGAAGAAAGAATACAATCAATGGAGATTTGACAAAACATATTTCACCAAAAGTCTTTTTCACATAATCTTTAACAAAATAGTAACATAGTCGTTCAAAGACACACTCCAGTGATAATCTTATAAACTTATTCACTAATAATTGTCAACATCAATATTTGGGAAGTCGTGACATAAGATTGAAATGCGTCGTCTTTGAAATATTAAATAAAGTTTTTATTAGGTGTAGAAAAATACGCGCTATACTCTTTTTCTTAACCATGATTTTATTCCAATTGAATTTTTGTTGTAAGATTTTTAACGAGACAACATTCAAAGCGTATTAAAAGATATGTGTGCTCTTTTTCCTTCAGTAGGATTTTTTTTCACATGATTTTTTCTTTGTAAGATTTTAATGAGACATATTGAAGAAACTTATCCCCTAGAACAAGAACCAGGTTCTTGTAAGTTGCTTTTAAGTCAAAACACAAAAACTTGTTGAATTAAAAACCTTCCTCAATCAAGGAAGGAGAAACCCTGTTTTATTAATTTAACAAGAAGATTTTGTGATTACAACTCAATAATCAAAAACCTCGCCACTACAACAACTCTCGATTAACTATAATCGACTACTTCTA